CAGGTGTTGGTAGGTCAGCATGTTGTGCATTGTTGAGAAGTCCAGCATGCATCAGCAGGAATATGTGCATGTAATGACTTGTTTACAATACAATACTATACAGTTACATGACAGAATATTGTGTCTTCAAATTTTCAATGTAGGAAAAAACTCACAAATTTAAAATAAAGTATTAAATTTAAGATGCATCATTTAAAAATATGTATTTTATATTTTTTTGAAATGATGCAATTTTTTTTAAATTGTTAAAGGGTTAAAGAAAGTAGATTTCCAAGGAGATGCTGAGTACTTTTTTTTTTTCATAGGCCAAATAGGTATGGGAACCTCTAGTACAGACCAACATCTCACACTATATACCAAGATAAGGTCAAAATGGATACATGATTTACATATAAAGAGTGATATCATAAGCAAATTAAGAGAGCTTGGAATAGTTTATCTGTCAGATTTATGGATAAGGCAGGAATTTAGGACCAAAGAAGCTACAGAGAGCATTACAAAATGTAAAATAGATAATTTTGATTATATTAAATTAAATAGCTTTTGCACAAACAAAAGCAATGCAACCAAATTATAAAGAAAGCAAAAAACTGGGGGGAAATTTTGTAGCAAATCGATAAATATATAGAGAACTGAGTCAAATTTATAAACATACAAGTCATTCCCCAATTGATAAATGGTCAAAGGATATGAATAGGCAGTTTTCAGACATAGAAATCAAAACTATCTATAGATATATGAAAAAAAATACTCTAAATCACTACTGATCAGAAAAATGCAAATTAAAACAACTCTGAGGTACCACCTCCTATCTATCAGAATGACTAATTAGACAAAAAAAGAAAATGTTAGATGTTGGAAGGGTTGTGGGACACTAATACATTGTTGGTGGGGTCGTGAACTGATCCAACCATTCTGGAGAGCAATTTGGAGCTGTGCCTAAAGAGCTTTAAAATTTTTCGTACCCTTTGATCTAGCAATACTACTTCTAGGTCTATATCACCAAGACATCCAAAAAAGGGGGAAAGGACCTATTTGTACAAAAAATATTTATAGTAGCTCTTTTTGGGGTGGCTAAGAATCTGAAATCAAAGGAATGCCCATTAATTGGGGAATGGCTAAACAAGCTGTAGTATATGATTGTAATGGAATGTTATTGTGCCATAAAAAAGGACAAGCAGGATGATTTCAGAAAAAAATGGAAAGACTTACATAAACTGATACATAGTGAAGTGAACAGAACCAGGAGAACATTGTATGCAGTAACACTAATGTTATTTGATGAACTAAGAGTGACTTAGCTATTCTCAGCAATACAATGATCCCAGGCAATTTCAAAGGACTAATGGTAATTTCTTTCATTTTTCTTTTCTTTTATTCAAGTCTTCTTGTACAAAATGACTAACATGGAAATGTTTTACGTAATTGCACGTGTATAACCTATATCTGATTGCTTACTATACAAGGGAGGGGGGAAGGGAGGGATAGAATTTGGAACTCAAAACTTTAACTAAAAATGTTTTTAAAAAATTTTTTAAAAACATGCTGATAGAATGCACAGATCTCAGGATGGAACAATAGTTGTTAATGGTTCTTCTTATCTAATGTTGAGTCATTTCCATCTTGTCCAACTCTTCCCTTCATGACTCCATTTGGGTTTTCTTGGCAAAGATACTGGAGTGGTTTGCCATTTCCTTCTCCAGCTTCTTTTATGGATAAGAAACTGAATCAAACAGGGTTAAATGACTTGCCTGGGGTCATGCAACTTGAAAAACACTTTCAAGTTGAGGCTGTATTTGAACTCAGGAAGATAAGTCTTTCTGGTTCCAAGCATGGTGTTTTATCTACTGCACTGCCTAGCTGCCCCCTACTTAGGCCTACTTATATCTCAGAGGAAACTGCAAGACTTTCATTCTCTATCTTAGTATCCTTCTACTTTACTCTAGAGCCTTCAGTTCATCTTAGGTCATTTCTCCACATCACTTTTTTCCCCTCATTTCTCCCAGCTTTAGGGAGTTGTCAAGGGGTGACTACTACCACTATCACTCCATCTTTGCTCTTCAGTCTTAAAAGAACAAAGCATGGGGCAGTTAGGTGGTATAGTAGATAGAGCTCTGACCTTGGAGCCAGGGGGACCTGAGTTCAAAACCAGCCTCAGATACTTACTAGCTGTGGGACCCTGGGCAAATCACTTAACCTTGATTGCCTCACCAAAAATTAAAAAAAAGTGATTAAAAAAGAACAAAGCACAATGTTATGGTCTACAGGAAAACAGAGGTTACAAAGTAACCTAACATAAATTTGGAGATGGAATCACAAGATAGGGAGCTAGAAGAGATCTTAGCAACTGTCTAGTTCTACTTCTTTTTGCCTATGAAGAAAGTAGGCCTAAGGAAGGATAAATGACTCAAATAAGTCACAAAAGGAAATGGCAAACCAGTCCAGTATTTTTGCTAAGAAAACCCTAAATGGGGTCACAGAGAGTCGGACATGACTGAAACAACTCAAGTGGTATGTATTAGACATAGGATTTGAACTTGAACTTAGATCCTTTAAGTTCAGAGATGGTACTTTCTGCTTTCTACTAGAATGCCTCCTTCTTCCAACTTTATCTGATGCCCTGTAGACATCTTCTAGTCAAAATGTCCCAAACTGAACTCATTATCTTTCCCCTCAAACCTTCTTCCCTTCTGAACTTCCCTATTACTATCACTATCCTCCCAGTCACCCAGGCTCACAAACTTTAGCTCCTCACCCTCTTTCACCCCTCATATCCAAGTACTATTGATTTTACCTTTGTGATATCTCTCCTATATGCCTCCTTACCTCCTCCTGTCGCCATCCTTGTACAGGCTCTTATCAAACCTCATCCCTGGCCAATTCAACAGCCTGCTGGTGGATCTCTCTCTCTACTCCATTCTATCCAACACTTAGCTATCAAATTGATCTCCTTAAATTACAGGTCACCCATGCTACTTAGCAAACTCCAGTGGCTCCCAATCACCACCTCCAGAATCAAATATAAAATCTTCTGTTTGGTTTCCAAAGGCTTTCACAACCTGACTCCTGCCTACCTTTCCATTCTTCTTCTTCTTCTTCTTCTTCTTCTTCTTCTTCTTCTTCTTCTTCTTCTTCTTCTTCTTCTTCTTCTTCTTCTTCTTCTTCTTCTTCTTCTTCTTCTTCTTCTTCTTCTTCTTCTTTTGTGTGTGAGGCATTCAGGGTTAAGTGACTTGCCCAGTATCATACAGCCTAGTGTCAAGTATCTGAGGACAAATTTGAACTCAGGTCCTCCTGACTCTGGGGGCCAGTGCTCTATCCACCTCACCACCTAACTGCCTTCTTTCCAGTCTTCTTACATCCCATGTACTCTGTGACCCAGAGACATTAACCTTCTTGCCATTCATTACTCACACAAGATAATCCATCTCACTACTCCAGATATTTTCCCTGGCATTCATTCCCCATACCTAGAATATTCTTCTTCTTTATTACCTTCTGGGTTCCTTCAAGTCTCAGCTAAAATTCCATATTCTACAAGAAGCCTTTTCTGATCTCACTTAAGTGCTAATGTCTTCCCTCTTCTCCAATTTATCCCATGCATCTGTTTGTACGTAGTTGTTTTCATGTTTTCTCAGGGACTTTTTTTTTTTGCTTTTCTTTGTATCCCTAGCACTTAGCCCAGTAGGGGCTATAGATATAAATATGTAGTCTCCTTGAGTTGTTATGACTAGGAAAAAAAAACAAACAGGACCCTGTGGCCAATTATTCAATACGGTATAGACCCATTGTTAGGAGGGTTGGTCCCTGTGTGACAAATGATCCATTGCTCCACCCGGACCTAAAGTTTTTCCAATGGAGGTGATGCTTCTCTAGCATAGCCTTGATAACATTTCAAAGTGAAGTCTCAGAAGTGGATCTCTATGAAGGATCTCTATCCATCTAAGGATCTCCATTCCTTATCCCACTCCAAAAGCATCCAGAGGACATTACTGATTGCTGTGGAATTGGCAGAGTGTCTTGACTCCTTTGTATTTTCAAGCCAGCCAATTTTTCTTTATTTTTTTTTCTCCCCTCTGTTTTAGTTTGGGAATTGGGATGTTTTTAATTGTAAACATTTCCATCCTCAGCGTCCTCTACGTACCCCCCCCATCTAATTGTTACCTCATCTCTTACTATGACGTAACTTCCTTGTATGTAAGGATTGTTTCAGTTTTGGTACTTAGATCCTCAGTGCCTAGCATATAGTAGATGCTTCATAAATGATTCTTCTTTTTGTAATACTTGGGTGAAGTGGGGGGAGGAAAGGAAGAAATGGAAAATGGGGGGAAGAGCCTAACAACTTTCAAGCTTTTTTTTTTAAGAAAAATTATAACAACACCCCACTTAGCACTTTCTGTATAAAAATATCTCTAGATCAACATCCTGAGTATGTTACTTTGAGGCTTTCTTATTTAGTGTTCTGAAACTGAAAAGGCTGAGATGGGCCTCTCTGTATCAAAGTATAGCCTTCTACAAAGTGGCATACACACCCAGCTATGTAGCCCACGGCCAGTGGTTTGGTGTTAGGGTGGAGGTTTATGTAGATTCCTCATCATTATAGATCTAGACACATTTCTATTTCTAGAAATATTTGTTCCATCGAAGGTCAACTCTCTTCCCTACATTATCTTCTGTTAGAACTACATAGCACCAAAAACTATCCTATGATCAGACCATCCTCTTATTTCCTAAACTACATGCTTTTCTGAGACATGGTCCTCACTCACATTTTTATCATCACCTGTTACCAATAATATTTATTTCCTATTTTCAGAGATCTTGGCAGCAAGATGGGGGGTGGAGAAAGGGCAGGTAGATTATTAAAAGTCCAACTTTCTGATTGTTTTATTTGCAGAATCATTTAGTTTAATTTCGTCAGAAAAATCATGCGTTTGAGTTTTCCCAGTTTTCCAGCAACACTGTCTCTACTATTCACTACCTATACAAAACTTTCTACCCAGGTCTGTTCGTTGCACAAAGCACAATTGGAAGCTGGATGTGAGCACCATGAAGTACATCAACCCACCAGGCAGTTTCTGTCAAGATGAACTGGGTAAATATATTCAATTTTTGTAAGGCCCAATATATTTGCTTTTATTGTTGTTGTGTTCCAATAATAGTGTGTCTTGAATTTCTATTTCTAGCTTTGGTGTGGGGGTTTTTTTGTGTGTGTGTGTGTGTGTGTGTGTGTGTGTGTGTGTGATTTACATTATAGGATTAGAGCTCTTTTTTAGAATAAATATTGGAAATTCCAAGCTGGGATTCATTCATTCATCATTTATTTAACCCTACAATGTACAAAATCTGGTGCTGAGTGCTTCTGGGGACAAGGATGAGTGAAAAATGCCACCCCTACCCTCAAGAAACTCAAATTCTAATAGAGTGGTTTGAAGTAGTATGATATAGTATGATCAGTGCAGGATTTGAAATCAAAGAACATAACTTCAAATCCTATTGCTACCAATTACTATCTGTGTGACATTACATAGGTTACTTAATCTCTCTGAGTCTGTTTCCTCATCTGAAAATTAAGTGGTTTGGACTAAATAATTTCTAAGGCTCCTTCCAGCTTCACATCTATGATTCTTTGAAAGAATCCTGAGGTAAGAGTTACCTGATCTGGGGATAAATCCCTACTTCTGTCACTTACTAGATGTCAGACAAGTCACTTGTCTTTCCTAAGCCTCACTTTTTTGAGTAGCAAATGGTGATAATAATATTTGAACTCTTCATTTTAAAAATAAATTAATTTTGATTTGTCAATAATCACTTCCATAAGCTTTTGAATTTAAAATTTTTCTTCCCCTCCCTCCCTACCTCCTCCCCAACACAGTGGGCAATCTGATATAGGCTATACATATACATTCCTATTAAACATACTTTCACATTAGCCATGTTGTAAGGAAGAATTAGAACCAATAGGAGGAACCACAAGAAAGAGAAAACAAAACAAAACAGAAGAAAAAAATAGCAAATAGCATGCTTCAATCTGCATTCAAACTCCGTAGTTCTTTCTCTGGATACGAATAGCATTTTCCATCATGAGTTGTCTTAGAGATGTCTTATACCCTTGCATTGCTGAAAAGAGCTAAGTCTATCAAAATTAGTCATTACAAAGTGTGGCTAATACTGTGTAAATGTTCTCCTGGTTCTGCTCACTTCACTCAGCATCAGTCCATACAAGTCTTTCCGGGTTTTTCTGAAGTCTGCCTGCTCATCTTTTCTTATAGCACAATAGTATTCCATTACATTCATATACCACAACTTGTTCAGCCATTCCCCAATTGATGGGCATCCCCAATTTCCAATTCTTTGCCACCAGAAAAAGAGCTGCTATAAATATTTTTGTACATGTGGGTCCTTTTCCCATTTGTATGATCTCTTTGGAATACATCCCTAGAAGTGTTACTGCTGGATCAAAGTGTATGCACACTTTTATAGCCCTTTGGGCATTGAATTCTTCATTTTAAAGTAATTTTTATTCTCAACTTAAGCATCAACTTTCAAATACTTTTCTCCATAATCTTTTTTCATATTCTTCTATGAAAAATAGCAGGTTGCATCCTCTTCCTTCTTTTAATTGTATTGCTTTGACTTTCCTTTTCTGTTGTTGTTGTTTAGTTTTTTTCAGTCATGTCTGATTCTTTGTGACCTCATTTGGGGTTTTCTTGGTTTGCCATTTCCTTCTCCTGCTCGTTTTACAGATGAGGAAACAGAGACAAACAGAGTTTAGTGACTTGCCCAGGATCACACAGCTAATAAGTGTCTGAGGTCAGATTTGAACTCAGAAGGTTTAGTCTTCCTGACTCCTGGCCTGGCTCTTAATCCACTGGGCCACCTAGCAGCCCATTGCATTTTCACACCCTCAAAACAGAACCAATCCACTTCCAGAACCTCTGTTTTTTTCCCCATTTAACTCTCTCAGTACCTCTTTGAAGACATTAAGTTTCCGAAGGGACACTTGTTTCTTCTCCCTCTTTTAAAAGGTTGACACTATACCATTATTTCCTCAGAATTGCTCAAATATATTTCCCTTTCTAGATTCCTGTTGACTTATGTTTGTATGTTTAAGATTCCTACCCAGCTTTAGTCTTTTTTTCAGAAATGTTTAAAAATCTTTTATTCCATTAAAGATCCATTTCCCCCCCTGTAGGATTATACTTATGTTTTTGTTTGTTTGTTAGTCTTGATTTTAAACCTGTGACTTTTGCCTTTTGGCATATTGTATTCTAATAACTCCTCTTATTTACAGTAGAGGTGTGAGGTGTCATAAGAACCTGTAGCTCCTTGGTGCTTAAACTGCATCTTTCTGGATTCTTCAGTATTTTTTCTTTGACATAGATATTCTAGGTTTTGAGTATAACATTTCTAGGACATTTCCTTTTAGGAGGTAATAAGTAAATTCATTCTATCTTCACCTGACTCTCTGGTTCTGATAGATCTGGGCAGTTTTCATTTATGATTTTTTTGAAAGGTAATGTTCAGGATTTTTAAAAAATCATATTTTTTCAGAGAGTCCCATGATTCTTAAATTATCTCTCCCTTACTTGTCTTCCAGGTTAGCTGTTTGTGATAGCTGATATATTACATTTTTTCCTATTTTTTAATCTTTTATTTTCTTCTAATATTTGTCTCATGGAGTTAATTGAGTTCATATTAGTCTGTTCTAGTTTTAGGCTTCTATTACTTGAGTAAGATTTACCACCTTCTGTTCTAAGCTATTTATTCTCCTTCCAGTTTTTTTTCTCCAGAATTTTAATTTCATTTAAAAATATTTTGCCTCATTTCTTCTAAATATTCATGCCATCTCTATGGGGAAAACCCAATTTTTTTCTTTGAGTCTTTGCTTATAGAGTTACTTGTTCCTCTTATCTGGGGGGAGGGGGAGGGATCTCTACATCTATGATAATACTGGTTGATATTTTCTTTGATTTACTCATCTTTTTTGATTTACTCAGCTCCTGAACTGGGCTTTTGTGTTGGGGCAGGCTCTGCCATATTATGCGTTTTTAGATGGAGTGGTCTCTCCCTGGGTCATTTGGATTTTTGTACTGACTTTCCAGTTGTTAGGGTCAGGCCCTCATGATCTTTGAAATTTAGAATGCTGGCCCTTTGGGGCCCTATCAGGTGTCTTAGGAAAGAATTCTAGGGACTTTGAAATCATTGGGCCTGAGATGTTCTGGTGTGAACCCTGTGACACTGTATTGATGACTGCAGCTATTCTGGGCTTCCAAGGTCCTGATCCTAAAGCTTTCTGATCACACTGGGATTCTCTGACCAGCCTGAAGCCTTCTTAGGGAGCCCTCTGCACTTTCCATCTCTGGACTCAAGACCCATTGAACTCTTTCATATTTCTGGTCACCCTAGGAGGCTGCTGGCTTGTTTGCTTATGTGATGCTGGCTTTGCTGGAGTCCCTTGGATTTCTGTCTGACTTTTTATGCACCCTGACTTTTTTAATGTATTAGTGGAGTGGGGGGGGGTGGGAAATCACTTAATATAGTTTCTTATTGGATTTCTTGATCCTTATTTGGTCTAGTGGGAATTTCAGGTTTGGGGTAGAGATGGTATGTGGGAGTTGGTTGGTCTGACTCCCATTTTGATAGCCATCTTGGCTGGAAGTCATTTGCACTATTCTTCCTTTCCATTTGGGATTTAAATGGGGCTCTCAAGAATTAGACCAGAGATACTATGCTGAAAATAATAGGCCCTTTTGACGTGAATAAGAGAAGTCTACATGGTTTAGCTAGAGACATCAAGGTTGGGAACACAAAAGTAAAGATAGCACCACAAAAGAAGGATGCCAGGATAGCATCCACACCCTGACAAAGAAAAGCAGTAGGTTCTAAAACAGGAATGGCAAAGACAAGGAAGAGATGCAACCTAGAACCTTAATCACAAAGGTCTTCAGTCTAGAGAAGGAAAAAAGAGTTCATAATGGTCCTTTAAGATGCTACCCTTGGACTTAGTACAACATTCCGCCAACTTCTCCCAGCTGATGGGTAAACTTCTAGGACTGATTGTCACTTCATATATAATGGAGCTCAGGGATGTTGAAGAAGGCTAGGGTTTTGTTTTGTTTTTTGGAGGGGGAGGTCTACTCAGGCATTTCTGATTTGACAGGCAGGAAAATCACAATTAGCATGATAGTATGGGAAATCAAAGTTTCAAGCATGGAAGTTTCTAGGCAAAGAAGAATCCTAAAAAAGGTGAAGGGGGAGGTGGGGTGGGGAAGGTCCAGGCAATAGAAAGGGATTTATCTAAAGCAGAAATGGTCTGTTATAAGGAAGAACAGGCCCTCAAAACAAGAAGTTTTTTTCTTTTTATAACAATACCTATCAGGGGCAGCTAGGTGGCGAAGTGGCTAGAGCTACAGCCTAGCAGTCAGGAGGACCTGAGTTCAAATGCAGCCTCAGGCACTTGACACTTAATAGCTGTGTGACCCTGGCCAAGTCACTTAACCCCATTGCCTCACAAAAATAAAAAAAAAAGTGAACAATACCTATCCACTTAACAAGGTTGTTGTTATGATTAAATTAGTTCTGTAAAAGCCCAATATAAAAATAAAGAACAATATAAACGTGAGTTATTGGAGAGGAATCATGGTATGGAGAAGTGGATAGCAAGCTAGACTTGGAAGCCAGAAAGACCTGGGTTCAAGTTCTGCCTCTGACACATATTGATTGTGTGATCCTTGGAAAATAACTTTATTTTGTTGTCCCAGGCAACCTAGACTCTAAGTTGGCATATAATTACAGGTCTTCTTTAGTAGGGGAAATTCTCTCTCTGGGAATTTCTTACATGAATGGAATCACAGATTTGGCCAAACAATAACAAAAACTCTATAAACGCAAGGTATTATTAATGAGGATAATATAAGTAAGTATAGAAAGTCCCCAGCACTTGACTTTTATGTATACCTAGTGGTTTGGGACTAAGAATGCATTTTCTCATAGGAATAATGTTATGAGTGTTGCTTACTATACCAAGCCAACCTATAAAAGTCAATTTAATTGCATAAAGGTAAGTGTCATTTGTTATGGGTCTGAAAAAAT